CCTTACTGACTATTGCTTCTAGTATCCTGTCACCCCAAGACCTCCTGGAAGAGAAATGAAAAGTACAGTCTCTCCCACATTTACTCTTAGACCAAGTAGGAATTCCCTATGACCAGTTATCATCCCTTCATTCTAGCAGGACTTCCATGGAAGAGAGGGGTTATCACTCCACTGTCCCAGCGAGAATTCCCCAGGAGGTACTGTTCCATGATTTCAGTCTTGCCTGTCCTGTTGTGTTCTATCAGCAGTAGATTCACAGTAAGAATCAGACAGCCTCATCCCAGTGAATCCCTTCACACTGTTTTTCCCTCTCAGACTCTGCACTTCAATAAAAATCACAGCAGTTGTGTCTCTTGAGGCCCAGTATATTCTGTTGCAGAGTTTTGCTGTAAAGAAATGTGGTAGTTTCTGCTCTCCACACAGAGATGGTGTCTAATTGTTAACTGTAGTTCTTGCACTCTGACACACGATGGCACTTGTGAGCTGCTAGCAGAAAATTGGGATTTTGGTCCAACTTTTGAGAGACAGAAGTAAAATACATTAGCTTTCTGAGATATACAAGGTGTACAGCTGGATGAACACAGCAGGCCAAGCAGCATCAGAGGAGCAGGAAGGCTGACGTTTCGGGCCTAGACCCTTCTTCAGAAAATTATTAGCTTTCTGTATGGATTCATCTTTAAGTAGCCAAACTCTAACTGGATAGATCTACACCCTGCAGATGTTTATTGCAGTGCATCACCTCTGAATGCCAGATTAATTAGGTCACTGGGCTGTAGTCATCTCTCATCTCCTCTCCTGGCAGACACATTGATCCTTGTGAACCATTCCTGCAACTGGCTCCTCTCTGTGCTGACAGTAAAGGAGCCTGTTGTTTAAACCCCATCGACAATATAGCCACTGGCTGCCTGTAACACCGATCTAAGCCTAGTGCATAAATCAAAACAAGATAGGAGGGGCGGATAAAACAAAAGTAGTACTTTTTTAAAAAAATTCTCTCGTGGTACCTGGGCGTCGCTGGCCCACCTCCAAATATATAGCACAACCACAGTTGTGGGAGAGACCTTCTGCTGCAGAGAGCTCCCTAACTTTCCCTTCAGTGTAAAGACCTGTCCAGTCAACCTGTCAGATCACAAGTTATACTAATCTCTACTATATTAAAGTCTTAAAATTAGCCAGCAAATCCCATCAGTATTTTCCATCATAAATTCCAATGCAGCTTAAGAAATTAACTGACATCTATAAAATATTCAGTTAGAAACATGTACACTGTATGAAAATTGGTGACTGTTGCCCATTATTCTCTTAGCCCTGTTTTCACGCCAACACCAACCCCCTGCAAACTCTCACGTAAAGACACAATCTAACATCTCCCAGTCAACTGAACAACTTGCTTCTATACATCAGGAACCAAGCTATCCAAACAAGTACAAAATGCTAGAAAACTTCAGTGGGTCTGGGGACATCAGTGGAGAGAGGGAGAGAGATACAGAGCTAGCAGGGAGTCTGATGGGACTCTTCTTTAGACTGGTTCCCCAAGTATTTGCTTGACATTAAAAGGGCTGAACCAGAGCGAGAGCCTTCGGCACCCCCGCCCGCACAATGTCAGGCTGAGAATCTAATGGATAGTTTCTGGTTCAGGTACAGGCCAATGTCCCTATTAGATGCATGTTATATTTTTTAAAAGAAAATGTTCTCATCTTTTCTGCAGCAACACTGACTCATGTAGACATTTTGACATCCACAGATTCCAGGGTCCCAATTAAAATACTTTCATATCTCTGGCTCCTTATTTTTCATGAACTTCTCAAAGTGCATTACATCAAGTGAATTATTCATGTAGAAGAAAATAACAGCCACTTTTACACAGCAGGAGAAAATGAAATAAACCAACAAATTAATTTGATCTTTAGCAGTCTTGATCAAGGAAGAAGTGTTGACCAGGATCCACAAATCATCAAATAGTGCAGTGAGCTCTTCAAATCCAACTAATTAACCACTGCCTCAGTTCAAGACATCACAGCTTACAGAATCCTTCCCTTACACCGTTTTTATTTCACATAGTACCGTTAGGATCAAAACTAGTGTGTATGACTAAGGTCATGTCTAAAACACATCACTAAAGGTGAGACAGTGGTGTTGCGGTAACATCCAGAGGATCTGGGGAACAGGGTTCAAATCCTGCCACTGTAGCTGATGAAATTTAAATTCAATGATCATTGTCACCGGAACTGATTGATTGCTATAAGCAGTTCCCCAATCCCCATTACTGGAGGAAATCTGTTATCCTTATCTGGTCTGACCTAAATGTGAATCCAGAGTCACAACAATACAGTTGTCTCCTAACTGCCCTCTGAAACAGCCTAACAAGCCACACACTTCAAGGACAACCAGGGCTGGGAAATAAATGCTGATCCTGCAAACAATGTCCATGTTATTTAAGAGGAGGCGATAGCCTAGTAGTACTATTGCTAGCCTATTAATCCAGAAAATTCAGCTAAAATTCTGGGGACTTGGATTCGAATGACACGATGGTGGAATTTGAATTCAATTAAAAAAACCTGGAATTCAGAATCTACTGATGACCGTGAAATCATTGCTGATTGTCAGAAAAACCCTCTGGCTTACTAATGTCCTTCAGGGAAGGAACCTGCCATCCTCATCTGGTCTGTCCTATGTATGACTCCAGACCCACAACAATGTGACTCTCATCTGCCCTCTGAAATGGCCTAGCAAGCCATTCAGTTCAAGGGCAGCTAGGGACAGGCAACAAATGCAGGCCAGCTAGTGAGACCTACATTCCACGAATGAATTTTAAAAATCCCATTAAAGAATACATTTTTAAAGAACAGCTGCAGAATCCCAATGCACTCAGCATCCCTTTGCCAAACAACTTGAACTGACCAAAAACACTAAAACAAGTGCAAATACGGTAAGCCACAAAATACTGGGAACACATGCCCTTGGCACCAAAGCACAACAACACAGTTCTACAAGCACCTGCAGCTATCAGAATCTTTTCTAATTACGGCAACAGGTTGTTCTATCAAAAGACTTCACAATCTGCACCTCATCAGGTAGCTCGCATGTACTTCCACGTCAAGCAAGGGCTGGAATTCTGATGGATTGTCACCAACTCGTAACACTGACCCAGGTATTTGTCAGAGTAGCGCAGACTCCATGGAACACTGCAAAATCCCAGACGCAGCAGATTCTGTGGGAATTGCCAGACAAACTGAAGACTGCAGTGGAGACAACCCTCTAAAAGTACTTATTAAAGGCAGAGAACTCAAGGCTCCCGCTCCCACTTCAGTTAGCCAGGAAAATGGAGACTGATGCCTGGGTAACTATTATGCAGATGTCTCCCAACTCCCCACACAGTCACCCACCTCCCTTGACATCTTGAAACTAATTTCCACAACTAGATATCCCAAAATCCGGTACAAACCCAACCCCTCTACCAAACCACCAGACCCATCACACCCATCCCTCCATCATTGCCAGATACATCGTATCTCCACTCAGTGATGACACTCTCTCCTCATCGGACCTGACAGCACCTCCAACCCACAGACTCAACAGTCCTGCTTCCCCCGACCCCACCAGCTCCACCCTCCCAAACCAACCCTAAGCGCTCCATTTACCCAGCATCCTAACCCTTTAAACAGATGCCACCTGACAACCCACATTTACCTTCAAGGTTTATGGGGAAATTGCCAGGGCTGGAGGGTTTGAGCTGCAGGGAGAGGCTGAATAGGCTAGGGCTATTTTCCCGGGGGGAGGTCAGAGCTCGAGGAGTGACCTTATAAAAGTTTATAAAATCATGAGGGGCATGAATAGGCTGAATAGCCAAGGTCTTTTCCCCAGGGTAGGGGAATCCAAAACTAGAAGGCGCAGGTTTAAGTGAAGGGGGTAAGATTTAAAAGGGACCTAAGGGGCAACTTTTTCATGCAGAAGGTGGTGTGTGTACGGAATAAGCTGCCAGAGGGACCAGTGGAGGCAGATACAACTACAACATTTAAAAAGCATTTTGATGGGTATATGAATAGGAAGGATTTAGAGGGATATGGGCCAAATGGGACTAAATTAATTTAGGACATCTGGTGCGCATGGACGAGTTGGCCCGAAGGGTCTATTTCCATGATATACATCTCTATGACTCTTTTTTCCCTTTCACAGTAGCTGTTTAGGTGTGCTGATGGACATTTAAATTGCATAACATGGCACACTGACTGCTGTGAAGGGGTTTTGGTTTAACTTCCCCCAACTGTCCTGTAATACGAAGGAGCTGTTACATTTCAGGTATACTCTCTATATTTCTGAAAGAACTAGGATTGGAATTTGTGGCTAGAAATGCACAGCTCAGGAAAAAAGCACGGAGCGGAGCAGTAATCTGATCATGATTGCCAATGCACAAAATATCTGGGTCACAAATTTGGATTCTATGCTCACAAATCCTGCTGAGTGTTTGCAGCAGAAACTATTTATATTAAAAACTTTTCAGTGTCTGTGATAGTTTGCCTTTTGCTATCAGTGCCAGCATCTTAAAAGCTAATGTTAAAGGTTTTTTTCTAAAATTTCTACTTACAATCAGATAGTCAGCCAGATTACAACAAGAGCAAAATCCAACAGTTGCTGAAAATGAAAATAAATAGCAGAAAGTGCATCAAGTCAGGCAGTGACCTGAGACAAAGTGCCAGATTTAGTGTAGTGTATCGGGCCAATGAATTATACTTCCTCTGTGCAAAATCAGATCCAGCTTGAACTGCTCACTGGTTCCCGTTCTCTGTACGGTGACTCCAGCTTTTGAGATGAAAGGGAAATCAGAACTACTCTGAACCACACTAACTATACAGGCTGTAGGAAAATCACTGCTGGCCCTTCCGGACACTGAGGGTTGCAGACCCCAACCAACCAAATCCCATCACCCCAAGATCGTTAGAATAAGCAGCCCAAGCTCTTGATAATATGGAATTCCAAGGGCAAACTACTGCAAAACCATCTCATATTTAACACAGCAGTTTATTACCTTGGTCAGAAAATGTCCCTGTCCATTTAATGACTTTCAGTGGTTTATTACAACAAGGCATTACAATCATATTGTGAACACAAAGTGCAGCGAGATCAGTCAGTCAACCAGGGTTTTAGTGCAGTGGTGCAGAGAGAACTCCCCTTCCCCTTGCCCTTCCATTCGGGGTCAGGGACCTTTCCCATCTGTGCAAAGTGGCAAGTGGGGTCTCGCTCAACAGACAGCCTAGCTGGCATTGTGACTATACTTCAACACTGCACTGGCAGTGTCAACATGGACAACACGTGTACTGGAGTACCTGAAGCTGAATGTTCAGATTGCTGAGCCACAACACGCCCGTGGGGCGTGTGGGGTCTGTGTGTGTTGAGCACAGCGCTGCCGCTCCGAATTGGAGCCAACAAAAACTAGAATTGCAGGTTACTCGGGTGTCTCTCCCAGCAAACTGCACTGAACCACCAGGGTACCATTCAAAACAATAGCTCTTCAGGTAAGCCAGTAGTTACAGCAAAAATATCTGGAATTAACAATCTAATGATGACCGTGAATCTATTGTCGATTGTCAGGAAAAAACCACCTGGTTCACTAATGCCCTTTAGGGAAGGAAACTGCCTCCTTACCTGGTCTGGCCTACATGTGACTCCAGACCCACAGCAATGTGGTTGACTCTTAACTGCCCTCTGGGCAATTAGGGATGGGCAATAAATGCTGCCTAGCCAGCGATGCCCTCGTCCCGTGAATGAATAAAGAACAAAAAAAAAATTTCTGCCCAGTCCAAATTGTCTCTTCGCAAAAAGAGTGAAAAAACTGTAAAAGGTGAATTTTGTTTTAAAAATTTGGAATCTGTGATATTCACATCTAAACATGTATGGCATATTTTGTGAGAGGCAGTTATATGGTCCTTCGATGTGTATGCATGGTGATGTAGTGGCAATGGAACAGTAGTTATCGAAAACACCCATGTTAAAGCACTGGGGAACATCAGTTCAAGTCCCACCAGGGCAGCTGGTGAAACGAAAACAAGTTAGTCCCAGTAATGGAGACCGTGAGATGGCGGTCATAATAATCTGGTTCATTAATGTCCTTTAGGGAACAAAAGCTGCTGTGTTTACCCAGTCTGGCCTACACAGGACTCCAGATCCACAGCGATTGTAGTTAATTCTTAACTGCTCAGAAATGGTAGAGCAAGTCACTCAGTTCAGGATCAATTAGGGACAGGCAACAAATGATGGTCTTACCAACAGCACCCACATAGCATGAAAGAATTAAAAGTATAGCCCCTTGAAACTGTTACATCTTTTGCTGAGATGAGAGCTGAACTCCACTTTCTGACTCGTGTTAGTACAGGGAACAAGGCCTTTAGTTTAAAGATTCCTGGCTAAAGTAGTGGTGCGAGCTCAGTGGTGGCTTGAAGTGGCTGATTTGTGGCGAAGCAGGAAGGGGGAGCACTGGTCACTGATCCGTAACTCCCAGAGCATTTCATTGTCTCCTGGAGCCTCAGCAGTGCCCGGGGGTCCTGGCTCTGGGCAGCGCTGCAGAAGAGCCGAACGTGCTCCTTCAGTTCATCAATCTGCTGCTGGGTGCCGTTGTTCTGCCGGATGAGGTCCTTGGTTTTCAGCGTAATCTCCAGCAGCCCTGACCTACTCAGGATCTCCACCGTATTGCGGAAGCGCCGTTCCTTGGTGGAACTGGGGTCTGGTCGCCTGGGGGCTCGGTCAGCCAGTTTAGCAGTGTCACCACAGGGTGACTGGGTGCTGAGAGCACGGGAAAATGTGGAGGCAGGGGAGGATGACGACGACGATGAGTGCAAAGAGTCAGAGGATTCAGACTGAAGAACAGGATTCGGAGAAAGTAATGGTGATGGGGAGACAGAGACATCAAACTGACTGTAGAGGTGCGCTGGCCCAAAAGAGGGTGTCTGCTGTGCATTCTCAGCTTGCTGGCTGTGGCCCACTGGTGTGATGTGCCAGGTTTGTTTGTTTCGGTGATATTCCTGCGGGGGCACCCCCGGCTCATCCAGGCATAACCGTTTGCTCTTGCTGTGATCGGCAGTCCTGTCGTCCTGGGCCACACGGTTCCCTTCCTGACCCTGGCTGCTGCTGTCATCCCGGCTTTTGTCTGGATGAGGCGCTATCCTTGGGTAGGAACTTAAAATCGGAAGGTAGGTATCTTTCCCTGTCCCAGCCTTTGCCTCAGTTTTCTGTGATTTCAAAGAAGCTGCCAAAGGCTGTCCAATGAAGACCACTCGGGTCTGGCCTGCTGATGTCCCAAGGGAGTGCTGGCTTCCCCAGGTCTGTAGCTGGGCTTGGACAAGCTGACTCCTTGTTGGAACGGATAGAGGCTGTTCAAAACATGGCAGTGGGTAAAGCAGAATTAGAATCCAGTGATTTAAAGGGACTGCCATTACCTGCAAGCATGCAACAAGACCCCCCACCCCAACTGGTCCACGCGAGCACGCAATAACCCCCATGCAGTCACTGCCTGTGAGTCTCACTATTATTCAATACAAGTACATAGTAAGGGAGCACACCTTCAGTGTGTGACCATCCTGTCAGTGGACACACACTGACTAACAATAGCAAGGTCAGGATTGCTAGCACAGTGAGCAGATCATGAGCAGTAGTAGTCTCTCGTTTAGTCCAATGCAAAAAATGGTCAGAATGCTGGCTCTGGGCTATAAAATCGGAAACAGCCTTGGAAACAGGAAGAGTCAATTTAATCATTCACATAGCAAGTGGTTCATTCTTGTCTATGTCAATCTTTATCTTTGAAATGAAGACACTTTCAATGTCAATATTACAGTGTTGCTTTAAGAACACGCTGCGATGGAGACATTGGTCTGGGTGTTAAACCCATCATTAACCTTATTTGCTTTCATAGTGCATTATACACCCAATGCTCTGATCAGAAAGTGGAGCTGCCCTTTAAAGTGAAAAGGGATTATTGTTCACAGCCGTCAGTTGTACATTGTGCAGGCTGAGGAGCCACACCACCTGCCCACTCAAACTGCTTCTCCTTGTCAGAGCATTTCTCACTGGGATGTGGTGTTTTGGATGTGTAAATCTAGACAGGCATCTTGGACAAATTCAAAGTAAATAAGAGGATTAGGAAAGCTTTAAAAATCCAACAAAAGATGACCAGAAAGTTAATACAGAGGGAAAGATAAACTAAGAGGGCAAAATAACAAGTAACATAAAAACAAACAGGAAGATCTTCTGTAAATATATAAGGAGAAAGATACAGGCAGTAGTGAGCACAAAGAATGAGGCTGGGTAGATAACAATGGAGGATCAAAAGATGGCAGAGGGGTTGAATAAATACTTTCTATCAGTGTTTATGGTAGAGGATACTAATAACATTCCAAAAGTACTAAATATTGAAAGTGATAAAGGTCAGGGGAGGAAACAGAAAATAAGTATCACTCGGAGAAAAAGTACCAAGGAAACTAATGGAGCTAGAGATGGTCATGTTTCTAATACTTTAAAGGAAGGAGCTGCAGAGATGGTGGATGCACTAGCAGCAATCATCCACAAATCGTCAGATTTTGGAAAAGTCCCAGAGGATTAGAAAATTGCCAATGCAACATCCTTATTTAAAAAAGTGAGAGACAATTAACAGGTAACCTATAGGCCAGTCAGCTTAGCATTTGTCATTGGGAAAATGTTAAAATTGATTATAAAGGATACAACAGCAGAGCATTTAGAAACACAAGATATCATCAAGCAGAGTCAAGATAGCTGTATGAGGAGAAATCATGCCTGACAAATTTATGGTTCTTTGAGATGGTAACAAACAGGATGGATAAAGGGAAACCAGTATATGCAATATCGTTGAATTTCCAAAAATCTTTGAGTAAGGTGTTGCACATATGGTTACTTAATAAGACGAATGCCCATGGTATTGGAGTAGCATATTGGATTGATAGAGGATGAAGACAGACGACAAATGATAGAAGACAGAGAATTGGGATAAAGGGAACATTTTTAGTTTGGCAACCTAGAACCTAGAGTGCCACAGGAATCAGTATGGGTAACACAATTATTTACAAGTTATATTAATGATGAAAGTTAATGCATTGTCATCTATAGACATGGTGAGAAAAAATATTCTTGGGAAGGCAAGTAGTGAGGACGACAAGACTCAACAGAGCGATATACATATAGGTAAGCGGGCAAAAAGCTTGGCAGATGGAATATCACATGGGAAAAATGTGTGGTTACGTACTTTGAGATTAAAAAAAGGTGAATATTATTTAAATTTGAAAAAAAGAACTGCAGATGGTGGAAATCAGAAATAAAATCATAAAATGCTGGAAAAACTTCTTCAGAGCTGTTCTGGAAAAGGGTCACTGATCCCAAAATGTAAATTCTGCTTTCTCTCCACAGATGCTGCCAGACCTGCTGAGTTTTTCCAGCAATTTCTGATTTTGTTTAAATGGACAAAGATGCAGAAAGCTGCAACATAGAAAGATTTGGGAATACACATACATGATTCACAAAAAAAAGACACTCAGTTGATGATAAGGAAGGCAAATCATTCTACTTTTGAAAGGGAATGAGGTACAAAAATAGGGAAGTCCTGCTAAAACTATACAAGGTACTAACCAGACCACAGCTGAAATACTGTGGACAGTTTTAGACCCCTTATTTAAGGAAATATGTAGAAGATTCACCAGGTAGATCCTGGGTAGGGATTGTCTTATGAAGGGAGTTTCAGTAGGTTGGGCTTAAACTCATTGTAGTTTTGAAGATTGAGATACAACTTTATTGAAACATGTAAAATTCTTAGGGGGCTTGATAAGATGGATACAGAGATGTTGTTTTCTCTTATCGCAGTGTCTAGGACCAGAGGGCGTAATCTCAGAGTAAAGACTTCTGTCTAAGATTAAGCTAAGAAGGATTTTCTTTCTGTGAGAGAGTGGTGAATCTGTTAGAATTCTTTATTTCTTTAAAAGGGCTGTTGTGGCTGGGTCACTCAAGAGCATTAAAGGTTGTGACAGACATTTTTTAATGAATGAGAGGCCAAGAGTTATGGAGATAAGGCAGGAAAGTGGAGATGAGACCTGCCATGAGCTCATCGAATGACAGAGCAGATGGGATGGGCTGAGTGGCCTGCTTCCACTCCTACATCTTATGGTCTTATGTACAGATTATTCACAAAGTGATAGCATCAGTCCCTCTTCACCGGGTCACTGCACAGACGAGAGTTCTGCAGCGGCAGCAGCAATAACAATCAGCAGCATCATTTGATCCTTCTTTTTCTACTGGCTACTAGCTTAGGCCCAGTGAAGCTCTCCAAAGAACATGAACAAGCAGATGTCATGACTCTAGACTCACATATACCACATTTTGTGCCCTTACATTTCTCCCTATTCCAACCCACACTTTAAAGAGGTTTTACTACAGGGCATTGTGGAGCAGGGGAGGGTCTGTACCTCTTTCAGAAGAACATTCTTCACAATGTAAACAGGAGTCAGGCTGGGAAGTGAGCTCTGTACAGCTGTGGTTCTCTCCATGTGGTTTGATACAGCCGGCCTCTTTTGCAAAGGCGGATCCTCTGAGTCGGTCTGTTCCAGTGTACTCAGGTAGTCTGAGCTAGTGTCTGAGGACAAGGCAGAGAGGAAATGGCACGGCCAAAGATAATACAAAGACAATACACACCATTTTCAAACATGGACCATCATATCACTATGACCTGGTGGAAATGAGCTTGGTAAATAATCTGTGCATGCCAATCAGAGAATGACACAACACAGAAGACCCTTCAGCTCATCGTACCTGTGCTGGGTCTTTGAAAGAACTAAACAGTTAGATCTATTTTCACCATAATCCTGCTTTTTTCTGTATTCCAATAGTTATCCAAATCTCTTTGAAAGTTGCAATTTAATCTACTTCTGCTGCGATCTCAGGCAATACATTCCAGATCCTTACGAGTAAAAATAATTTCTTTTAATCTCAACTTCATACTCATGTATGATATCATGAGGCTTTGATGGTTAGAACTCCCAGGACAACTCCCTCCCAACTGTATACAACTGTATTCCACCTCTGGTGGGTCTGTCCTACCTTCAGTACTATACATGCCCATGAACGTTGACAGTGCTGTCTGGGGCATTATCTGTTAGGTATGATTCTGTGAGTAGGAGTATGTCAGGCTGTTGCTTGACTAGACTATGCTATGAGTCAGTTCTCCCAGTTATAACACTAGTCCCCAGACGCAGGTATGGAGGACTTTGCAAGGCTGGCTCAGTTTGCTGTTGTTTCTAGTGTCTTGCTCAATGCTATTCATTTTCATCAGTTTGAGACTTTTAGCGGTTTTGATAGTAGCTTGCTAGACAATTTCAAAGGACTGTTAAAAGTCATCCACATTTCTGAAGTCACTTATAGGCCAGACCAGATGAGCAGAGCAGTTTTCCTTACCTAAGGAACATTAATTCAAGGCTTTTAGTGAATTCCATCATTTGCCATGATGGGATTTGAACCCGTATCTCCAGATCGTTATCTGGTCTCTGGTTTACTAGTCCAGCAAAAATACTGCTATACCATTGCATAACTTTTGCACCTCTGCAATAAAAGGTTAATTCCTAATTGTCCTTTGAAATCAGGAACAAAAACAGAAGTTGCTGGAAAAGCTCAGCAGGTCTGGCAGCATCCATGAAGAAAAAATCAGAGTTAACGTTATGGGTCCGGTGACTCTTCCTCAGAACTGGACCGGAAATGTTAACTCTGATTTTTTCTTCAGAGATGCTGCCAGACCTGCTGAGCATTTCCGGCAACATCTGTTTTTGTTTCTGATTTATAACATCTGCAGTTCTTTCGGTTTTGCACTTTGAAATGACCTGGAAAGCTACTCAGCTCAGATGCACTTCAGAATGGGCAGCAAATGCTGGCCTTGTCAGTGATGCCCAGAGTCATAGAGGGATACAGCATAGAAACAGGCCCTTCAGCCCAACTTGTCCATGCCAACCAGGTTTCCTAAATTTAACTAGTCTCATTTGTCTCTTGTTTGGTCCATGTCCCTCTAAAGAAAAAAGAAATCAGCACTATATCTATGCCTACACTACAGTGTCCCTTTAAACACACTCTTCAACTCTGTCAGCTCATGATGATATCAAACACATGGCAAGATGGAAAGGTGATAGCGTAGTGGTTTAACTGGACTAGTGATCCAGTGTAATTCTCTGGGGACTCAGATTCAAATTCAGATTCAAACAACGGATAGTGGAATGTGAAGTTTTAAAAAGTCTGGAATTAAGAGTCTGATGATGACCTGGAGGCCATTGTTGAATGTTGTAAAAACCCACCCGGTTGACTAATACACTTTAGGGAAGGAAATCTGCCTTTCTTATCTGGCCCGGTCTATATGTGATTCACTCTGATGGGATTGACGGTGGCATACTACACCATTTACTTGTGTCAGATTGCTAAAGACATTCAGGAGTGAAACCAGAAAGACCATCTGATATTGACCAAAGCAACAGAAATGACAACAGCAAACTCAGACATGGGAACACCACCAACTGCAAGTTCCCTTCCAAGTCTCTCTCACACTGAATTGAGATATCACCGTCCTTTCACTGTCACTGGGTCAAAACCCTGGAACTCCTCTCCCCACAGCACACCTCAAATGGACTGTAGCAGTTAAAAGAAGGTAGCTCACCACAAACCTCTCAAGGGCAATAAGGATTGGGCAATAAATGCTGGCCCAGTCAGCAAAACCCACATCCTACAAATGAATAAAGAAAATTTAAAAATAGATTTCTAGCTAGTAAAAGAATCAAAGGGCCACGTGGAGAAATGGAGGCAGAAATAAGCCACTTTATGAAAAATAGAAAAGGCTACATGGGTCACATGGCCTACTCCTATTTCTCATCATAAAGATGTATTGTCCCCCACTTTGTTGAGTGTACAGGGTGCTTGTTATGAACTGAACTGTTGCAGTAGAGTGGTAGCTTATGTACACTTGTTGACCCAAACTGGAAAATGTGGCACCCAGTCATCTTCAGGTTGTTGCAGTATTTCAAACAAAGAGACAGTCTGCATGCATTTTAAATCCTCACTCAAACCCACCTATCCCACCCCAAACCCACCCAACCCATGCACACTCCCTTCCCCCAACTAATTACCTGAAAAACCAGAATCTTTTTCTGGCTCCTGCAGCAACATGTCCTGATTCTTCCTGGCACTTCCCGTGTGACTTATTTTCTTCATCTCTCTGTACCAACTGCTTGGCAGACTCTCCAATTTAACAGAAACCCCATTCATCCTGTCCTTTAGGTTTCTGTGGGAGCTTCTTGTGACAACAGGCACTTTATCCGAAGACATGTTTCACTGAAAGAGAAAACATCCAGAAGGAATATCATTATCGGTGTGTGTGAGCGCAAATGTACAAGTGAGTGTCAGAGAGCCCGTGAGACAGAATGCGCACAAGAGGGAGTGTATGTGTGTGAGAGGCAGAGTGAGTAGCAGCATGGTAATGTCACCACACTAGGAATTCACTTTCCCAGGCTAATTCTCTGGGGTCATGGGTTTGAACCCCAGCACAGCAGATGCTGAAATTTGAATTCACTTTTTAAAAAAATCTGGAAGAAAGACCTAGCCTAATGCTGACCACATAACCACTGTTGATTATCGTAAAAACCCATCTGGTTCACTAATGTCGTTTAGGAAGGAAATCTGCCATCCTTATCCAACCTGCCCTTCACGTGACTCCAAATGCACAGCAGTATGGCTGACTCTTGATTATCATCTGGGCAATACTAGCCAGCATTGCCCACATTCTGTGATGAATTTAAAAAACAGATTTGGAATTGGAAAGCAAACCCCCTCCACCCATGCTCCGAATGACCTGGTGCTGTTCTCTCCCCGCCCCCATCCCCACCTCCTGCAATCTTTTCCAACAAAGGATTAGTCATAGGACACTGGGAGGCGATAGCCTAGTGGTATTATTGCTAGACTATTAATGTGGAAACTCAACTAATGTTCTGGGAATCTGGGTTTTAATCCCCTAACATTCCCCAGGTGTTGGAATTTGAATTCAATAAAACAAAAATTGGGAATTAACAATCTAATGATGACCGTGAAACCATTGCCAATTGTCAGAAACACTCATCTGGTCTGGCCCACATGACTCCAGATCCAGTCTCACTGATCTCTGAAATGGCCTAGCAAGACACTCAGTTCAAGGTCAGCTAGGGACGGGCAATAAATGCTGGCCAGCCAGCAATGCCACATCCCACAAATTAATTTTTACAAAATCATAACAGCACAGTAGATGGCCATTTGGTCCACTGACCCTCCCCTACTCGATCCCATTGCCCTACATTGTCAAGCCAGCATCTTATCAATAACCATGGGCAACATAGCTGCTCACTGGTTAGCACTGCTGCCTTATAGCACCAGGGACCCGAGTTTGATTCAGCCTTGGGTGACTGTCTGCATGAAGTTTGCACGTTCTCCCCATGTCTGTGTAGGTTTCCTCCGGATGCTCTGGTTTTCTCCCACAGTCCAAAACATGTGCAGGTTAGGCAGACAGTCCATGCTAAATTGCCCATAGTGTCCAGGGATGTGGAGGTTAGGTGGGTTATCCATGGTAAATGCAAGGTTACAGGCATGGGG